AAATCACTAGCCCTTTCATTAAATGCACCTTCATACAGCACGCTGGCCACATCGCACTCAGCTGCGAGCCTTTCCAGAGAGTTGTCCAGTTTCTGAAAATGCCAATAAAACTGCCTCACATGCAAACAGCAACCTTCTCGTCTCCATGTCTCCTTCGCTTTGGCTGCTCCTGACTATTTTATCCATGTACGACACAAACATGACATGGAACAGAATGCAGGCTTGGTGAAGATCAGTGCCAACGTTAAAAGGTCTCCACTTAATCTCCTTTACTCTGACCATCTACAGCCAACTTGTGATTAATGGAAGGCTCATAATAACTGGCCATCGATTCCATATGCTTAAGGTATTCCACAGCTAATGGTTTGCGGCGAGGGCATTTTCAGCCATAGGGACTTTCAAAAACAATAAAGCACATGTAAAGTAGATGAATGAACTCCTACGATTTTTCAAGAATCTGGCGTGAGGCCAAGTTCTGGCAAGGGGACCTTCGGACTGAACTCAAGCGATCCACTCTGATTGTATCTTAGAATTAGTCATTCCGCCGCACCTCGATTTTAACACCCTTCCATATACTTTTCCTTGGAGGCTCAATGAGGTAACCACCGGTATTCAAGTCGCCTATCTTGAATAAGTGTACTACAACTAGCGTTCTCCTGTCCACTGGTGTCTTCCTGTTAGCCATTGTCATTTCACATGCACATGTTGATCACGTAATGTTTTAGCTGTAAGAATTTCAGGACGGATTAGATCAATTCCAACAGCCCTGCCATGTTTCAGAAATTTTACAACTTATGTATCCAACAATTTCATGCCCTTATTGTTGAGGTCGCTAGGGGCGTCCTTTCCAATTACCTATTCCCACTTTTCAGTGTCTGTTCTAACATGCGCATTGAAATCGCCCATTAGAATGAGGGATTATTCGGCACTTCGTACAGGGCCCTCAAGGAAGAACTTGTTTCTTCATCTGAACTGAACGCATACACCAGTGAAAAAGTCAAATCTGAGGACAGTCACTCTTCTGCAGACAGGTACAGGTTTCCAGCAAATGATTCTGTCGTCTCCAAGATTGGCCCGAGCATGCATCGTGATGTCGACACCTGAGCTGAAGAGCTTCCACCAGGAGAAGTTCCGAATTCCAGGGCCTTGGGGTTTCGTTGACGAGTGTCAAAGTGTGTTCGATATGTGCTTTACGGCCTCCTCTCCGCTAGGTCCTGCTCGATCCCTGTGTGAGTGAAGAGATGGTCTAATTTCCAATGTGAACTCCCACTGTCGTATCGTTTCCTCGTAACTTAATCTGAAGTGCTATAAAATCATCCCACCGTTTGTATCGTTCCTTCACAACGTATCTTTGTATTAGGATCTTCATCGTCTTATTATAGATCGTCGACAGCTATCGTGGTGCTATTACGCACCCAGCTGTCAGACGGCGAAAACCAGATCCTGGTCGATAACTTTTCGCAGTCTGCCTCAGTTCCTCAACAACTTGGGCGACCCTAGAAAAGTCGCTCGTTGCAGTGTTCGATGACGGAAATACCATGACTCAGCTACGGTCTTAAACCTTCCTCTTTTCTCATCCAGATTTGAAACTGATAACGGCGGAGTTTACAAAACTTTAAAATAGGCTCCTTACTGAATTTTGACAAAAATATCAAATTACTGACAGATCTCTGGTTAAGAGTCCGGTAGTTCAAATGGCAATACTCATGCGCATTTTGGACGCGCATTTATTCTGTCGTGTAGAAAACTTATTTAGCCTGACTTTCTGACATTAATGACTACCTATTGGCCGGGCTGATTTTAGAAGTTGCCTAAAGCCACGTTCTTTGCAAAGGAATAGAAATGGGGAAATGCGAAAGTGAATGAATGAGCAAATTACGAATGTATGAATGAGGCATAATTGATTAACTGATAGAATAAATGAATATCTCAATGAATGAGTCAATGCATAAGTGAATGAACAAATGAATGGAAGAGTGAATTAATCAGTGAGTGAACAAGTTAATATGTGAAAGAATAAATGATTTAAACAATGAATAAGTGAAATGATAAATGAACGAATCAATGAGCCGATGAAGAAACGAACAGACGAATGAAGACATCAGCAAGTTCAGTTATGCGATTTACTTTGCAACTTTCATGGATCTTTCCAAATGACTCTGAAAAAAATGAATGAATGAGTAGATGGACTACTAAATAGGCGAATGACTGAATTCGGAAGCAGTGATTAACTTAAGGAATAACATTACTGATTTAATTTATTATGCATGGCATGAAAGTTTCTTACGTCGAACGATTGTCTGCTGCTGGGCTCTTGCAAATATCATTTAAACGATAGCGTGGCCATGGTGATTAACATCTTATGCTTTAGCAGTGGAAGCTACGATGGAGCTTTCGCTTGAAAAGGCTGGCGAAACTAGAGAAATAATGGTGTTTCTTGGAGAGGCTGCAATGCTAACGTCGTTGCTCGAATCATCGTTGCTGACAGTAGAACGCAGGCCAGAGACAATTTTTAACGAAGACATTTTGGCACAGTACTTCGAGAAGGAGAAAGCGTCAGTCACTGTTACGCTAGTGCATGCTGAAAAGAAGCTGCCAGTTCTTGAAGCCGAAGGTACAAAATTTCAGGACATAAATTACATTTGTGCAAGTCCATTCATTGGCAAATGTTATTAGTCCTCTCTAAGAACGTTGAAGTGAGTCACATGTTTCAGTGCATGGGGCATAGATTCAGGCAGTGGTAAAAGCACTGTCGATCTGAACTACCAGCTTAATGGACGAGGAAAATTTAATGCCTTCTTTTTTTATACCTTTATTTATTTTCATGACCAATCCTCGCTTCGAGTCGCGGAAGCAGACACGACAGACAATTTTTCCAACGTTACCGGTCCTGTGCTAGAGTATGAACTGCGGCAGAAGACAGCTTGAATCTGGAACAGACTCATTTCATATGTTTGCACCAGGTTAATGTTGGTTGTCCCCTGGTCCATCTGCCAATCGGTTGGGTAAAAAACAGCTGCTTAGCCTTCCTTTCTGGAGCCACTCGAAACACATACCCGAACCATCGCGGCTGTGA